ATTTAAAAAAAAGTAGAGACAGTAGGGGCAGTGAGAGTAGTACTAGTAGTGGTATAAGAGTGACAATTTCAGTAGGAACAATAGTAGGCGCAGTAGCAGGAGGAATTACAAGCAGTAGTAACGGGAGGAATTACAAGCAGTAGTAACGGTAGCAAGTAACAGCAGTAGCTACCTGTAACAGCAACACATAACAATGCTCGCCTCAAGGAACTAAGAAAGTGACCTTATCCTCTTCTAATTAACAATCAAATTTTAAGCACTAGTGACCCCAATGACCTTTTTGACCCATGACCCGCAGGAAACAGGGAGGGGGGGGCATCCTCTCTCTCTCTCTCTCTCTCTCTCTCTCTCTCTCTCAAATACAACGTTCACCAGTACACAAAAACGGAGATAAAAATTCCTAACCTAACCTAACCTTTGACCTACTGACCTCCATAATTAATAGGGACCTTCCTCCCCCTAGGGTGTTAATTACCTGTAAGTTATAATGTTGACTGGAGACGGGAAATTAAAATTATGATCAGGACAACAAACTCGTAGACGGACCGACGGACGGACGTAGAGAAAATATCGGTAAACACAGCTATTACACCACTATCGAGAGAGAGAGAAGATGCCCTCAAGAAATTTAATTACTCACCAACAATTGCCTCTAGGGCGTTCGAGCTGCCAGTTTTAGGCCGTCGAAAAGGTCACCATCCCCCTAGCCTCTCTCTCTCTCTCTCTCTCTCCATAACGCCTCATATCCTCTCCCTCATTCTATCCACTTTTCTACAGACAGACAGAGACAGACATTCTGACAGACAGACAGACATAAAACGACAGGCAAAAAGCGATGTAGATGGATTGTTTCTTAATATGTGCTAGTTCTAGACCACTGTAACACACACACACACACACACACACACACACACACACACACACACTCTTAACATACAGGTGGGGTAAAATCCTCTTAATTGGACATTCAGGCTCTACTGATTTACATACTTCACAATCTTGGCAAAACCTATTTTTGTATTCCTTTTCTTCCTTCTGGCTCTTTTGTCCTCCGTCTGTCCTTCCCACCTTCCGTCCGTCTCTCCGGCCTTTAACTTGAGTGGCCACGTTCCTCTTATTCTTCTTCTTCTTCCTCTCCTCCTCCTTCTGCCGCTTCCTTCATCCTCCTCCTCCTCCTCCTCCTTCCTTCCTCCTCCTCCTCCTCCTTCCTTCCTCCTCCTCGTCCTCCTCCTTCCTCCATCCTCCTCCTCCTTCCTTCCTTCATCCTCCTCCTTCCTCCTTCCTTCCTTCATCCTCCTCCTCCTCCTCAGACAGCCCAAAACACAGATGTCTAGCTCAGCCACTTGAAGGCGATGGCTAGGTCGTCTCAGAACCAGGAAAAGAAGAGGACAACGCGGTTTGGAGTGATGACAGAAGAGGAAAAAGAGGGAAAAAGGAAAGAGGAAAAGGAGGAAAATACGAAAAATAATAATTAAGGAAATGAGAGATGTATAAATAGACCAAGGAAAGGAAGGAAAATTTATCAATACATAACAATCAGGAAAATAAACCAAATTATTTAGAGAGAGAGAGAGAGAGAGAGAGAGAGAGAGAGAGAGAGAGAGACAAGATTTATTCAAGAAAACAATCGTAAAAAAAACGTATAGTTCATCACGCTACCTGGCGATTACCTGGCGTTGCTTCACAGATATTTTCCTGATGACCAACCTGGGAAAAACAAAAGAGCCATATTAATACTGTGAAATATGGGGCAAGGGAGTTTATTTCATCCTAGGAAAATAAAGAAAAAATTACGTTTTTGTGTGTGTGTGTGTGTGTGTGTGTGTGTGTTGATGCGGGTGTTTGTGCTGGTGTACTTGTATGTGTGTGTTTGTGCGTGTCGCTGCCCGCTAGTCTTCCTCCACTCCCCTGCTATAAAAATCAGGCGTAAATTGACGGGGGGCGAGAATACGCGAGAATTTACGAGACGCTAATAGTAATAGTCTGGGTGACTAAGATCACAAAGGCCAGGGGATGAGGAGGGGGGTGAGGGGGGGGAGGGGGGTGAGGGGAGGGGGCAGGGAGGAGGGGTGAGGAGGAGGGGGTGGAGGAGGAGGGGGGAGGGAGGAGGGGGAGGAGGAGGGGTGAAGAGAGGAGGAGGGGTGAGGAGGAGGGGGTGGAGGAAGAGGGGTGAGGGGGTGGAGGAAGAGGGGGGAAATAAGTGACAGCGGGAAGGGAGGAGGGTGGAGGTGAAGGGGAATGAGGGGAAGGTGAAGGGGATTATGAGGGGGAAGAGAGGAGGGGGACAGGAACGGGGTGAGGGAGAAACTAGAAGAGTAGGTGAAGCAAAGGGTGAGGAAGAAAACGGGGTGGAGGAGAGGAGGAGGAGGGATGAGGGAGGAGACAGGATAGAGGTGAGGGGGAGGGGTGAGGTAAAGGGGGAATGCGAGGGGGTGAGGGGGGGAGAACAGGGAGGGGGTGCTTGGCCTTCACCTGCCTGCATTGGGTAGGTAAAAACACAGCCGTTCATCTCAGGTAAAATAAAGGTAGATCATCGTGAAGGTAAATCACAGGTATTTTATAGATATATTACAGGTACACACAGGTAAACTACAGGTAAATTACAGGTATACCAGAAGTAAACTACAGGAATACAAGACAACGAAATTTACAAGTTTCACCTACGACCGAGCTACCACCTTCATTACCACCACCACTGCCACAACCACCATTACCACCACAACCACCTGTACCACCACCAGCACTACCATCATTACCACAATCACCACAACTACCACCACCATCACAACTACCACCACCATCACCAAAACAGCTACCACCACCACCACCAACCTAACCTAACCATCTACAGAGAAAAAAATCACAAAAATTCCACCTAAATAAACTCCGTCTTTCCAATATATCGCCACAAATTTGATAGTCAAGAATAAATGAAGAAAGGGGTCACCAGAAAATGCCTTATTACAAATTCATGAACAGAAGTTTACAGAATTTTAAAGTTCAGAAAGAAGTAGACAATTGAAACCCAAATAAAAAAATTACATAAAATATTACATAATAACTTAGTACAGACGTCAGGGGATAAGTGCCATTGAATAGGTTACAGTGCCCCAGACAATGGCACTCCTATTAATTCAGAAATATAAGATGTTGCACTTAAGACAAATAAAACCCATCCCTGGCGATCAACTTCAATCAGTCAAGTCAGATAAGGCGGATATTGAGCTGACTTAACTGAGCTAAATAGTGAAAATCCTGTAGTATTTATCTATCTATCTACAAAACTTAAATTTCTCAAACCCATCTCAAAACCAAACTCAATTCACATTAGGTTTGGCCCGAATTTTGTTCAAACACAATTTATGAAGCAAAACTGAAACTCTTTAATAATTTCACTTGTTCAAAAAGCACTCGACCAAACATGAACAAATACCATAAGATCCACGGCCTAGGTTGTTCATAGCATCTTACAGGGGGGAGGGGGTGGAAGGGTGTGGAGGAGGTGGAGCAGTTGGGGTGGAAAGAGGAGTGGAGGTGGTGGGAGGGGTTTGTTTACATGGGGTCTATTACTTGCTGTTAATTGTTCTTGATTCGAGGGGTGGGGAAGGATGAGGGTGGGAAGGATGAGGTGGGAAGGATGAGGGTGGGGAAGGATGAGGGTGGGGGAAGGATGAGGGTGGTGAAGGATGAGGGTGGGGGAAGGATGAGGGGGAAGGATGAGGGTGGGGAAGGATGAGGGTGGGGAAGGATGAGGGTGGGGGAAGGATGAGGGTGGGGAAGGATGAGGGTGGGGAAGGATGAGGGGTGGGGGAAGGATGAGGGTGGGGGAAAAATAGATGGAGAAGGAGAGAGGAGAAGAAGAGATGGGAGAAGGAGGATCTGAGGGGAAGGGTGGGAGAAGAGAAAGGGTGGGGAGGAGGAACGATTGGGGAAGAGGGGTGGGACATTGGGGAGGGGGGGAGGAGATGGGGGAAGGAGGAAACGTTAGGGGTTTGGGAGTTGTAGAGTTGGATGTTGTGTTGGTGGTATGGAGGATTGTTGTTGATGTAGGTAGTGGTGGGTGACTGAGGTGGTGGCTTATTACCGAGGGGTGGGGGGGGGTGGGGGGTGGGTTACATATAGTGTCTAAAACTACTTAAGACGCCCCCACAAAAAAACAGACATGTCAGCGTCCAAAACATACATACATACATACATACATACATGACACAGCAACATAGAGCAATTACATGACGTGGGTCTTTTGAAAGCGACAACTTAAACCTCTTTTCGGATCTTAGAGTGAGCCAATTAGATGCGTCTTCACGAAACCAATAGGGGGGCAAAAAATCACTGTGTAGGATATATTAAGGATTCTGGTAAAGTCCATCAAGTAATTAGTCAAATGATGATGCTCAGTCGATCGCTCAATAACTCTTACGATCTTATATAATGTTGTTTTATGTTATGTAATGGCCGGTAATATAAATTGATTCTTATCTCTAAGTTTATCTAAATAACTATAAATAAAATCTTTGGTTTCGTAGTATTCTTCAACACATAACCAGGAATAATTGGCAATATCAACTTAACCAAACCAAACCAAACCTAACCTAACCAAACCAAACCAAACCTAACCAAACCAAACCTACTCTAATCTAACCTAACCTAACCTAACCTAACCTAACCTAACCTAACCAAATCAAACCTAACCTAACCTAATCTAACCTAACCAAACCAAACCAAACCTAACCAAACCAAACCTACTCTAATCTAACCTAACCTAACCTAACCTAACCTAACCTAACCTAACCAAATCAAACCTAACCTAACCTAATCTAACCTACCCTACCCTACCCTACCTTCCTTACCGTCACCTGTACAAAGGATGGAACACGGTAGACATAAGGAGAATGAAGCACCATGATAAAAATTAAGAAAGAAGAAGAAAAAACTGTGGCCACGCGACTGTCTGGACTCTGGAGTTGAGCAAATCCTTTTACTCCATCTAACACTCTCCAGGATGTGTCTTCCGTTTCCTCCTCCTACTCCGCCTCTTCCTCCTTCATGCCTTCCTTGACTCCTCCTCTTCCTCTTCCTTAAAACACACACACACACACACACACACACACACATTTCTTCACTTCGAGATAAATATAAAGTGAACGCAACAGAAAGAATTAAAAAAATATATATATATCTCCTCCTCTTCTCTCCACTCACCTTCTCTACATATCCTCACCTCGAAATAAGCATAACATACACATGGCCACAGGACTTGTTAAAAGAAACAAAGAAAAAACAAACAAGAATTACTCTGTACAATAACAATAACACGACTGTTGTGAAGTTGGCCATGGAGTCCCCCCCCTCCCTAACCCTTCCTTCCTCTCCTCCCTTCCTCTCATTTTCCTTCCCTCTTTACCTTCTCTCTTTCCTATCCCCCCCTCCTTCTCTTTCTCCTCTATCCACCTAATCCCTTCCTTCCTCTTCCCAGTTACGAGGGCAATATTCCCAAGCAATAACACTGAACTTCATTAGCCTCCAAGCGAGCCTGAAAGTGCTGAGGGGCAATAGCCAGAAGACGCTATTGCCCAATCCTTTTCAACAGAGTTTCTCCTGCCTGGGCATTAACCTTCCATTTTTCGGGGAGATAACTTGGAATACGGTTTTTGCTTTACAGAACCGCGAATTGCGAGCTGGGGGGATTTTTACGCTAAGCTTTTTTTTCTGGAGGAGAGTGGGAGGAGGGAAGGGGAGGGTGGGTGGGGAGGAAAAGGGTGGGGGAGGGGGAGGAAGAGGGAGGGGGGTGGAGGAGGGAAGAGGGTGGAGGGGAGGAAGGAAGGGTGGGGTGGGAGGAGGGAAAAGGGGTGGAGGAGGAAGGGGGAGAGAGGGGTGGGAGGAGGGAAGAGGGAGGGTGGAGGAAGAGGGAGGAGGCTTTCGTTATGTATGGAGTTTTGCACTTTATCCTATTTTATGTGTGTGTGTGTGTGTGTGTGTGTGTGTGTGTGTGTGTGTGTGTGTGTGTGTGTTGAGAACTCCTTTTTCACCTTGACGTTCACCGACCCGTTATAACCAATGTTGTGGAAAACCCAAAAGAAGGAGACTGAAAAAAAAATCACACACAAAAACGCAACCTTCGGGAGTTCTGATTACGTCACAGAGATTAGGTGAAGGAGGCGATGCTGTGTAACCTGACGTGATACTGTGGGTGACTGAGGTTGTGGTGGGTGACGTAGGTTGTGGTGGGTGACGCAGGTTGACTTAGTGGATGACGCAGGCTGTAGTGGGTGGCATAGATAGATAGCTAGACTAATAGACAGATAAAAATCCAGATACACAGAAATATGAACGATACACACATACAAATATCGATAGATAATTAGATGGACAGACAGAGAGACGGACAGATCCAAAGATAGATAAACAGTATGATTTCGATTGGTTGTACAAAGTTACTGGTACAGCAAGTGGTTTGGTGCTCTCCTCCTGCCTTGAGGATCACTGGTTCGATCCCTTAGAATGTCCAGTTCACCCAGTTGTAAACAGTACCAAGTTTGACAGTTGGGGAAGTGAAGGCAGTCTAGTACAGTGCCTCCTCGTGCAACTAAGGCTTAGTATGTAAAATGTTGTATCCACACTGTCCCTAACGTGCCGTCACGCCTATGAGACTGACCTTCACTCTCACAGGTGCAGCTGAACACCGGTAAACACAGATTTACAGGCCG